TAACTCCCAGAAGTGATTAACTTGTAACTTTCCCCTCTAATATCCCATACATTATTCAGCAACTTTGTAATGAGAATACTCAAACCTATCAGGTAGAAGCTGTTATCTTGATCTAAGATCAAATTCACGCCACTAATTTCAAAGGAAATGTGTAGCAGTTAAAGGGGAGAGTTAACAATCAGATTCTGGGAGTTGATTATAAAGGGCTAAGGAGGAATTATCTCTTCGATTTTCTTTGACATAATAAGCCAATGCAATTTTAAAAGTTCTAACGGCAACTTTAAGTCTTCTAAGGCCAGCAACCTGAAACTTCATGACGATTTACAGTCATAATCGTGACTATACTATACCTTTGGTAGATTTCTTGTGCAGTGCCTGATCATGCGTTTTGTCAGTTTGTGTTGAATTCATCGCATCGGGTTCTTCTTTACTCGCTGTAATACCATCTTGAATTTTAACAGCGTGTATACTCCATATTCCATTTGGGTGAACGTAATATTTCGTATCATCGCCTGATAAATCGTTCCCCTCTTTTTGGTGAATGCTACCTGGAATATCGTGTCGAGGAAAATTTTCCCCATCGTTAATAGGCTTGTCTATCAAGAGTTTTTGAGCTGGTTTAGAAGTGGGTTTGATTAATGAGATGCAAATTCCTACAGGATGCTGATAAGATGCACCAGCTAAATTGCATTTTAATCCCTTTGCGCAGCGACCGACGACATAACCCACGCCACCACAGGTCTGACCTGCAAAAACACAAACAAATGAGCTGTGGAGATCACAGTTAACCTTTAAACCATTTTTTTTTAATGGTGAACGTGTGAAATACTTCACTGCAGTCTGAAACAGTACATGGAGGGATGAAGTGTAACACCAAAAAGAGAAAAAGCTCAGCTGATCAAAATTTGTTTTGAGACACGACAAGAGTTAATCCATACTGATTTGATTACCATGACAACGTACAGTTTTTGTAACCGTTCGAGTTTTTAGTGAACATTCCGGCTGGTTTCAGGTGTTTTATAATCTGAGGTTATTAACTTGAGAAAAAAAATCACTGAGTTGCTTTCCTTACCCACGGCTTATTAAGGCAAGATTAAGTACGGCAATAGGTATGGAACTGATCTATGTCGGGCCCTCGGCTAATTGAGAAGAGGGGAAATGCGGGCTCGCTAAAAGTGGTATGTGGACGCAAAGATTGGAATTGCATGGGAAATAGCTGAACGCAAAAAAACATATTTCGCATATTACTTTTTCGCTTATCTCCACTGACTGAGAGATAGAGCAACCTCGTTCCCAGGGTCTTTTCCCCAACTAAGGGAAAAGGCCCTGGGAACGAGGTTGAGAGATAGAGGAATAGCCTGTATAGGCTTGAATAAATCCGGCACTTTCCCTTTCTATTTCCCATAGAATGCCCTCGTCAAGTAATGAATTTTCCTATAGATAGTCAAACGAGGGAAAACTACGTACTGTTCGCGTGGTCATAGCAAAAACTTCTGAAAGAAAAGCTCCATTGATGTTTATTTTGTCACGTTTGATTAACAATTGGTCATAGATTAATTTTGTCTGGAATTCCAATTTCAACCACACTCTCCATCGAGTCACACCATAATTTAAGGTTACCGTGCACCTTCAGGGGTGTCTCGCGTACAAGCGATGTAGCGCGTCCGGTTTAAACCGTAGATATCTAAACTCCTATATCAAATTGAAGCTTATAGGACTGGCTATCAAACTATACCAAAAATGTCTGCGATTTGCCATATTCAATTTCAGCGAAAAGTTAGAGAACATTTTTGAAATAGGATTAAAAAAATATGGATTGATCGTACAAAAATCACTCTTGAAAAAAAATATTTAGAAATAAAAAATTCGGAGACACGTTTCTGTAATTGTTTATATGTAAAACTAGCTACTGTAAAAATTTTAGAGCAATCGAACAAATTCCCTTTAACTTGTAGCTCTTAAAAGGCGTTTCGGGTGCTCGCATTTAGAAGTCGTGAAAAATTCGACAATAAATTTTTTTTTCAAAGTTTTGGGTATAGTCTGATAGCCAGTCCTATAACCTTTAATTTGATGAAGGGGTTTAAATATTTACAGTTTAAACTGGACGCGCTACATCTCTTGCACGCGAGACACCCCTGAAGGTGCACGGAAACCTTTAGAAAACACCTACCGTTAACCCGAAGACATTTGGTACAACAATTACAGACGTCCATAATGAAACCAAGAGGACAGTTTGTTTCGTTTTTGCAATCGTCTATTGCACATGGCTTGCACCCAAGAATTCCTCCACCCGTAATTACTGCTTCACAAGTCAGGATGGAGGCGAGACTAATCAGAACATGACCCCATATCAGGGCTAAAGAAGCCTTCTGATGGAAAATGAAACAGGAGGTAAAATTGAAAATTAAGAGGCTTTTTACTGAAAACATTGTGGATCAAATGGTGGTTTAGAAATTTTTATTATTCCCAAATGACAACATATTTAGCTGATTATCAGTGACCCGTCATTCTTTGTTGCGGGGGCGGGGGAAGAGGACAGCTGCCGCTAACAGAGTTTATAAGGAATACCGAAAAAAAAAACAATGGATTGCCAATGAAGGGCGGATCACAACAATATTACAGTTTAAGGAGGGTCTCGATGGAGTGATGGCTTTTACAAATTTATTTTACGGCTAACGGTTAATTTATTTCCGTGAGAGTTAACAGAAAAATGCCAACGGTTGCCTTTTCCTCGACCAATGGTTACCTAATGACTATTTTTTTTCTTGTTGCCGTTTTAGGGCTAATGGCTTACCCCCATTGAGACCCACCTTAAGGGGTGGATTAGGATCGAGTCTGAATGGTCCCTAAGAGTGTATAGATGGATGTCACTATGTGACTAAATAGGTCAGACATTTTCAAAACTGTCTGAACAAGGAATACGGAAAATACTATCAATTAACGGACACAGGTTTAATAAAAGCCCCTGAAAAATAAACTGTCGTGGTTACAGAAACAGAAAAAAAAAAAAACCTGGAGATTACAATTGCAGTAATATTCTTTATATCGATTTCACAAAGACCTGCTGCCTGTACCGTTATCAAAGGTCGTAACCTGTTGCACATACCAGGCTTCAGTTTCGTATTTTTTTCTTCACCTCTAGCTAACTTACTAGGTTTACCCCAAACATCATAGAGAAGGAGAGGAATGCTACCGTTTTTCAGTTGCGGCTGCGGCAACTTTCAGTTTTAGAAAATTTAGGGAAAATGGTACCAGAGAACTGGCGATAGTAATGAAAATTTTCTCCTCACGTACCTTTAGTTAACGATAAGAGGGCAACTCTCAAATCATAATTTATGAAAATTTTTGTGAGCCGTGTGTGTTAACATTTGTTAAACTTTATTGATAAATTTGGCTATAACTGCTCTTAGCCACTTGTCTTGTAGCTAGTTCCGGCTGTGATGGGTCATGTTGATTGACATATCTTAAAATTCAATCAAATTCTGCAGGTGTATCTCAAAAGAATAAACAAAAGTAAATATGTCTAATGAAGTATAAAGCAAGGTACTTTTCCTTCTTAACACTATGAGTTTTACTAATTAAATCAATTCTTCATCCCAGCTGGCGCACTTGAGCTGCATTCAGTTGAAATAATGTTGTGTCATTGCCAACTGAATTTAAACCAGTGCGATATCAAATCTCGTCGCATTTACCCTGTTTGGTCCACCTTAAAAACCCTAGACATTTACTGTGCTGTAATGCAACAATTTTGAAAGTCGCAGTTAACGCAAAAGTTCGTAACTTGAAAAGCTCAGTCTCTGATATTTTGTAAAATTATATCAAACGTTTGATTTTTTTTTTACCTTGCACTCCACCGTTGTGTTTGAATTTTGTAACCCACGACATAAACTTTGTGCTGGTTATAAACGTCGATGTCTGGTTTGTGTTCAGGTTTCTGGGAAAAACTTTACACCTCACTTTGAATCAAAGAAGTCGAACAGGGATCTTTTAGTATCTCGTTAACTTTAACAAGCAAAGCATAGCGGAGAATTTGGCAAGAACTGTCCGCCCTTTTCTGGTGGAGCGAGGAATTTTCCCAGCCAAAAGCCGTTCTGAGTGACAACGGACAGGTTGTTATGAATAAATACAATGCATGCTCAAGGAGCGTGACAGTTTATTGAAACTGACGGGTGTCATGGGGATGAGATCATCGTTGGATGGAAGCAGCTACCTAGTCACTGCAATGTCTTCTAAAGCTACCATCTGGCAGAGTTAGAGATTTCCTTTGGGGATTTGTGGATATCTTTCAGAATAAAGTTTTTTCTACGCACAAAATTGCTGAGCTGATTTTTTGGGGTACTCAACCCTGAAAGTAGTAACCCACTCTATATATCTTCAGTTGACGCTTCAATTTTCTTTACTCTTTGGCATACATTTGTTATGATTTTACTTCTGAGTATTTGAAGTTAAATCTAACAATTTTACCATGGTATGCGAATTTCTTCTCGTCACCTTTCTGCTAAACATTTTGATGATATTTTGTGAGCAGAAATTACACATTGGTCGTTTCGTGGAGCTCCAACAAGACGCTGTGTCGCTGTCACCGTACGAGATTAATGATACGACTCTCTGAAAGACGAAAATATTACTTGTCAATTAGAGTAATTTTATTGTTTAAATATTCAATCATCGTAGTTTGCACTGAAAATTGTGAAACGTCCTTTGTTGCAAGTGGTTGTATTTTGATCTCAGTGTACTCAGACCCTGGTTGCGTGGAAGGTCACGTGTAATTGTGCACGGCTTAGACTGGGGGCGAAACTAACGGATAGAAGTAAGTGGGTAATGAGTACAGATTTCCTTCAATGGTCAGCCTATAGAGATAGCTGGCCTGAAAGTTACCAGATTTCCTGAATCTAACAACAGCCAAATCCCAAATCCCAGCATTAAAAGCCATACTTTACCAGTTAGAGCAGAGGAACTGGCAAAAGAAAATCGAAAAGACATTTATTTGCCTTTACTTGCATCTTCTCGACCAATCACATGTTATTCCGGGGCCGGGGTTTTCCGTAATCGAACCCACTCCTTCGCGCCTTGTAATATTAGCCGCTGTCATTCTAATTCTTGGTATGTTTTGAGGGGCGCAATATCAGTGAGGTTGAAAGGTGTACAAGACACCTCTGAAGAACCAATTTGCATTAATCCGGATTTGGAGAAGACGATCTTTAAATAACACTCAGATCCAGAGCTCACTCACTCAGAACCTGTGAAAAATAAAATTTCATCATTTTGACTTCAGCTGTTAATAAAAAATTTCGTAAGAATGTTTTAAGCAATTTCCTCCTTGCTGGAAAAAACAGTCACCCGTACGAGACGGTATTGATCGATTTGTTATTGGATTTCTCCTTCTAACAATTGCCATTCCATAACGTTGTTTACTGTCACGTTTCCGGTAAACGTGCGCGCCGTTCGAGTGGCTGACCGTGTGAGCAAGCGCTTGCTACGTGTTGGGGGAATCGTAATCAATTTCGACTTCCTCATATCTTAGTCAAAAACCCTTCCTGCATGTAGAATTTAACTTCCTTGTCAAATTTCCCCTTTAAAGATTAGTTCAAAGAGATTGCGTTCTGGCTTACCCGTGCTCTATGTATAACCAAATATGTCATATATCATATTAGAGTTAGACTACCGTTTACCCTTTGCCGGTTCTGAAAAAACGATGGAATCAGGATTTAGCAAAAGCTCAGATAGTTCAACAAACATCGGCTAGACGGTCAAAGAGGAATTGCCGAATGAAAATTTCGTGCCATTTTATTTACGTGTGACGAACTGAAATTCATTTTATCAGCGTGGGAGTTAGAGAAAAATCCGCTCAGGAGTATGGCACAGAATAGAAGATTAACTCACGAATTATTTTATGATCTAATACGCCGTAAGTTGTACGGTTTAATCGTTCCGCAATTTTGGTGTTTTTTTTTTGCATGACAGCATGGCATCTTTCCCTTTCCTTACCGAAGTTCAGTCAGCGACTGTTTATGCTGGTTACGGTCTTTCAACAAGGAAAACATTTGATCGACGACTTTGCCAAGACTAGTTCCCTCTACAACTTTTGAGTTTGTGAGTTTGATTAAACCAGGAGGGCTCAACAAATATTTTTTTTTTTTTTTTTTTTAAACTGATGATTTCTCTCAAAAGTAGTGAAATGAATTCTAAAAAGTCATGTTTGAGAGCAATTATTCTTTGTGGAATAAAAATAGCCCATTCTCAGTGCCAGCCAGCACGAGTCAAAACAATTTTTTACCCCATCTAGAAACTTTGACTAGACTCAGTCCCAGCCGCGCCCAGAGCCGATCTTGGAGTCATTTTTTTACCAGCAAACAGGGATTTTCTTTCAACTTCCAGCGCCAGCAAGAGTCGTCTTTTTTGTGCATCTCGTGGTTTTTGCATCTTTGCACTGCACAATCAGAAACGGTTGGCGTTGATGAGAAAACGTCAACGATCGAAAACTGTTTATCCTTCTTGACGGTCGGCTTATTTGATATTCTGCCTCGGTAAGTCAGGAAAAGGAGAGCAGTGAGTGGCTGTCAGCCATCAAAACATCATGTTCATTTTGCCAGTTATGGATACTTTGAAATTCCCAGAAAATATTCTGCGGAAGATGCTCTCCCACTCAGGCTTCTTGAAAATTTGCCAGCCAGATCAGCTGAAGCAAGGGAGCCGCTCTTTTGAGGATTGGCTCTGTAATGTCCGAGCTAACAAGAAAGCAAAGAGATCCCAAGAATGTTTGACTTTAACCATTGGCAAAGCAAGTCAAGTAATGTGTCATGTTTTTATTCTAAATCCTGACAAAGAAATCATACCAGACTTAAAACAGCTCACGCGGGTGGCAAGGGGGTGGAAACCTCACTTCCTGATCGATGTCTCCTCTTTGGCCAGAATTGAGACGCTCATTTGATTTCTCAACTGGTCTTATTTCAATAATTCTCAACTTATCATTACTACCTCTAGGAAATATCTCAGGCAGGGATTAATGCTCTGGAAGATTTAAGGGTTTCTTTTTCTTTTCTTTCAGCGTTTGACATCTAGATCAAAATGCGTGTATCAAAACTCTTCTCTCCAGAGAAGAACATAACTTTCGAGTGTGTTACGTCAGCTTTAAAAAATACTAGAATATCAAATACCGTCTTTGGTTCCAAAGGGAAGTGAACTTCACCTGATACAAGATCCGAAAGTGAAAATATTTTCCAAAAGGGAAAAAAAAAGAAGATACATATTACTTACCCATGAGCAACTCAAAGCGAAACTTACTCTACCCCACCCCTACCAACTCGTGACATTGTGCCTCAACAAGATTACGTCACTAATAAATCCTCGAGGCTAGAAATGGAATAAGCTGTAACCCGGAGAGTAAATAACTTAACGTGTTGCTTACTATCAAAGCGCAACTATCACTGTCCGTAATTCACTCTTCTCAAATAGCACTTTTCGGCTAATTTCCAAACTACAAGGAAATTGTTCCCACCACCCATGTGTACCTAGTAAGCAGATGTCCATCTAAATTTTCTCACCAGCCCCTCCCATACCATCACAGGTTTAGTCTGCCCCACCGCACCCTGCTGGGTAGCTTTCTTCAACTATTCGTAGTTGATCGCCAGAGACAAGCAGAGATGTCGAACGTAAAGTATTTCTTTATTCATTTTCATTCTTTTATACAAACCGTAACGACGCAGCCCAACAAAGGACATACAAACATCATACGAACAGTCTCGGTAGCTATCGATCGCGCGCGTGCATGTAATGTACATGTAGTTGTAGTATTTCATAAAATATATACTCTTATATGACATCTTTTTAGCGCTCCTGTACAAGGTTTCGTGAAAAACTGAGTTTGATTTGAAATTGCTAAGAAATTTACACGTGAAACTCTACCTAACCCTTACCAACTTTTTCGCTCTACTAACGGCAAACAGTCGAACAACTCACGATGCCAGTCACTCGCACTTCATCGACATTTCACCATTGATCGGTGTCTCACAGTAATTACAAATTTATATTATGAAAGCGACGACTGACTAAGAACTAGATAGAAGTGATCGGTGTGATACAGTATTCTACAAAGAAAAACTGACTATGATTTTAAGTTAATTGCTTTCGTCTTCGGCTGCGTTCGCACTCGATTCGAACGTCGCATCGTGTGTTTGGCGTCCCGACATTTCTGGCAGATGAACACGTCGGGAACGTTTGATTTTCGTATTTTGGCACATGACAAGTGAATCCACGTTAGACACTCGGAACATTCGATCATGGGTCGTCCTGAAAGGCAACGAAACGAATTAAGTCAACAGTTTGTCGTTTAGATGTGACCAGTTTAAAAATGAACAGCAACTTACAGTCATGACGATGAAATGAAGCGTTTACATGGTCTAGACAAAGTTCTCATGGACATATCGAAAATCCACAAGGTATAGATTTTGAAATAAACTCGAATAGCCCAAAGCTATGTTTTTAAAGAAAAGTGTGCTCGGAAACGTTCTTGAATCGACTTGAAGCGAAAAACTCGACCACGAAACTAAGAAACATTTCTCGATTAGTGAAAGACAAGTAGGATACTACTTCGAAGATACTACCAAAAATTTGAAAAAATTTCACCATTTATTTTAAAGATGGAAAGGACAAAAAGAAAACCAGAAACTTCGATTAAGCTGTCTATCAATAGAAGAGTAAAAAAGGTCGCGTAGTCTATGATAGGGTGTGAATAACATCAACAGAACGTATTGCTAGACTAGAACACTTTCACGCTCATCGATTACATACATATACAACTAAAGAAGGAAAACGAGGTACACACTACTTTGATTTGCATTCGATTTCTTAGGAAGCTTTTAAGATAGCGAAGATTGCAACGTAAATATTCTGAGTTTCACATACAGGTTCAGAAAGTTGTGTCCATGTTGGCTTAGTAAACAACAGAGTTTTCTTCCCGTCGTTCGCTACTCGAACTGATTTCTGAGTAATTACTATTTGATTGGCAACATAAAAAGAAAAATAATCGTTTCCTGAAGCTCGAAAAAGCATGAAGCAGATTTTTAACCATACATGTAGTATCTGCGTGACGAAAACCACCGAATGAGTAACTTGTAAGCTTGAATGACTCGATGGGTTTGTTGTACTGGCGAGGTTTCAAATATTATGAAGTTCCGTTCTGTCCGTGTCACGTATTACATTGAGTAATGAAAATACAAAAAGGAACGACTTCTCTCAGGCATAAGTATCTGAACTACAGAGAAAATAGTGCTTACCTGCGAAAGGTTTTTGGCAGTAACATGTGATTTTGTTCCACGACTCGTCATCTGCGAATAATAAAGAGAGACATCAGTTCGGCGACCACTGCCAGCCGTCAATAAGAAAGCCGAAGCGAAATCAAAGAAAAACGCAGTTTAGAAGAGAAAACTTCCAGCGTTACACTCTCACGAGAATATGAGCGATGATAAATGAGTTGTTATTTCAGAGCAACTGTACTTGTACCCACCAGAGCTGTATTCCTCGTCAACATCATCGAGCAATCTCTCATCTCCACTTGAACTAGCCGGTGAAGAAGCTGTCTCGCTGTAAGCTGAATCCGTACTCGACGACACGCTTTCCAACGAATTTGGACTTCTATTACGCTGACGAACGTCCTGAAAACACAACACGAAGGAGAAGAAGTCAGGCAACAAATTTATTCAAAGAACACGTTGAACAACGTAGGTGTCATAAAGCCGACTACAATTTTAGTGGGTAGGCACAAAGAGAAATACGACGAAACGCAATTAGTTCGACGGCAAACTGTCTTCTGGAAGGCAGTTTTCGTAGTTTGAAAGAGGAATGAGCTGGATAGATGGACCAAACTTGTACGAGGCAGATTGCATGATAAGCTTAATTCTGTCTCACCTCTTGCTTTCCCTCGTATGCGAGGATTAGACTACAAAATGTGTTGAAATCTTCAAGCGTTCTTCGTTTCTTCGTCTGTGGAACAATCTATAAATGAAAATTTGAAACTGGTTTAATCGACGAGAAATCTTCGCGGGAACTGAAAGAGAGAGCATTGAAAATCAAGTAAGAGATGTCGCGCTTCTATTTGAAGTGAACAACAATGGATCCGCGTAAAATGAAGCGTTCGGACTAGAGAAACCAAACAACGCTACTCACCGTTCTACCATCTTGCTCCGGCGGAGGCAACTTCCTTGAAACTGTTGAAAGAGCAAAGAAGTCTTAGAGTAAATATAAGATTTAAAAAACCAAGCGTTTCAGAGCTTGCAGAGCAAACGTTTTGAGTCGTAGTCGAATGTTCGATGAGCCTTGTAACGGAACAGTACTGCATGCGTTGAAACGAAGCCACAAAACCCCAAAATTTCTACCTTTCATGGTGCCAGAGGTCATTTTCGTTGACTGTACCATAAAAAAGCCTCAATATTGTGAAACCCAGCTGACTGTGTGGTGTTAAGAATCTCCCTTAGAAATTCCAACTCCGACACCGATCGTCAAACTCCTCGAACTACACATCTCATAATACCCAGACTCCCTTGTGGATTGCGCAGAAATACGTCACAATAACTATCGGACAGGAGTGCACTAGGATTGGTCGATACTAACATCGCTGAGCAGGTCAATAACAACACGTGACGAAATAAACAACGTAGATTACCACAAATTTTCTTTAAATGTGCGATAATTGTTTAAAAAAATTTAGCATCACTTTTACTTACGTTTTCAAGTAGTGTATCTGCACATGGATTAAATTAACTGAAATTTCTCTGCGACCATTGCCCGTAGGAATCATAAATAAATGTAATAAATGTGAACTCACAATTTGGATGGTGTCGCTTTGGTAAACAAACGGCAGCTACAGCCCCGCCGAGACATATTCAATGATGCTCGACTACCACCCACCAGTTCTCAACTCCTGAAAAAGTAGCAATCGAATAGTTACAACCAAACATAATTTAAAAGAAAAAACAAATATCTTCAAAGTAAGATTTAACATGAGCGTCTCTTACCGCTTTACATAACGCGAACGACGAAAATATTTCACTACTTTGACATTACCGTATTGAATTTCAATCATGCGTGAGGCTTTAATTATGAATGCCAACTGGTCTAAAATTGAAAACAATCAACCCACATAAAGTCTCGTGAGTTAAAAGTTTCGAGCGAAAAAGCATTCGTCGAACCTTACCTGATACAGCCTTAGCGTTATGATTCGATCTTGTGTGACTGGCTGTAGTCACCAGCACCATAACACATCGAAATCTTTCTCTTTTGCGATGCGTCAACTATATCGTATTCAAGACGGCGTTATCTCTCCTGCGCATGCGAGAAATAACTTTCTTATTTCACGCTGACTTGTGGCCCGAAAACTAATGGCTGGCCGTCGGAAGATTGACTGCGTCGTTAAAGTTGTTGAGTTTATCTATCGCTTAAGAGTATTCCCACCCAATATCTGAGCTTTAGAGACCTTTCGCTCTCTCAAACAGGAGATATTTCACATGGTAGACGCCGCGGAACTTCATGGTTGGACAACAGCTGCATACGATTTGGGGTTGTCGTTTACACCGACATGCCAGCTGGTTATGGAAATTTTTAGCCAATTAGAATGATGCATTGTCTGACCGGATCTCGTTCCCAGTTTTCCACTGAACGTTTGGCCCTTTAGGGTTTATGTAGTATTATCATTGATCAATTTCTTTTTGCACTCATTGAAATATAATAGCGACTTACGCACAAGAAACGAGGTCAAACGAGGTCAATATGGTTTGAGGAGAAAAGTAATTCAGTGTACAAACAATTTACAACATTCCTTGGGCAAATTGGGAACAAAGCAAGATATATCCATTTCTCCCTCAGGTTTCTGCTGTTACATGCCCAATAGCCTAACCTGAGTTCATTTCCTTTGCCAGTTTTTCTGTGAAAAAGTTGACGATCAAGAACAAAAGATATATGCTCTTAGAAGCCCAAATATCATCTATTGATATTATATCGTTGTTGAAGAATCATTTTATTGTTGTTATTATTATTATTAACATCATGATCATTTTTTCTGCATGATTACAAGTTATTACACTTATGTTAGTAAGGTTGTCTGGATGATCGACATTAGCTTTATTTTTTCCTCATGAAATGTAAATTTCCTATAACTGATTTTGCAAATGGTGATGCAGCTTCATTTTCCAAATTAATCATCCATAAATTATGAAACAGTTATTTATTTGGATGAGATACTGTGCATCAAGCATGTACAACTTTCATGTTATAACATCTACTGGGTAAGGGGGGGCCGGGGGGGGGGTTCCTATGAACAGAGAAAATCTTTATCTTTCAAAACTTTTTAATGGACACTTGTGTAAAGAAAGATGTTTTTTGTCTTGTCATGAGGGTGGAAACAAAACAGAATGACTGAAAGATTAGAATGAGTTAAAGATATATGGGATTGTCTGATTAAAAGGCACCCATGGTCTATAAGGTCTGACCACATCCTCACAGGGATCTGAAGATGCGATGTTTTGGCCTTTCTCTCCTCAATTATCCAGGTAAATTTTTAAAACCAAAACTGTATTTCCACCTTTTGGGAAGCAAGCCAGTCCAGCTTCCCAACATCCTCACCCTGTGGAGAGATCAAACTCAAGTTGTACAAAACAATTTGGCGGTTGTCATTAATTATAAAGCCATGCACATTTGCCCAGTAAGCCAGTCTTGGCATTTCTGCTGCCTTTCATTGGTCAAATTTTCATGTTGGTGTGACATGGGAGTGGGAGTAGGTCCTTTAATTCATTTTTCATCATGGGTAGAGGACTTTTGTCACATTTTCAGAGTTAGACCATCTCTTTCAAATTTCTCATTCTGTATTTGACAGGCAGAAAAGAGCAGAGGGAGATTGCATCAACTTTATAAAAATATGCTTCATTTGTTACTGATACAAAATTATAACCTCTTAAAAAAAGGGTTAAATATATAATACAAGCAGACATTTGTTCATTCCTGATATTTTCATCACCCAAAAGTTCTTGAAAAATTCTACTCAATAACATCATCCATTGAAATGACCACATAAAATTTCACTCTATTCTGCTTCTGTGGAAGTATAACACTTGCACCTTTCCTTCAAGGTTTTGTCTACTCAGACTGAAATCTCTTCTGCCATAAAATAATTAATGTGAAACTTATTTTATATCACAATATTTAAGACTTCTTCATTGCGGATACAATTACATTGCATAATAAAAACTCTAAGAGAACTTGTGTTGCGAATGCAAAAAACACCAGGCTGTTCTTCGCAAACTTCACTATTTTATTTCTACTATTTTCTCTTAGTTACTGTAATCACTGATAGAAGTATATCATTTCTTGGTTGGTTTCACTGATGTGCAACACACCCTAAATCCTAGACAACAATGATATATGGACCGATTAATTGGTTCTACAATACAATTACATTGCATAATAAAAACTCTATAAGAGAACTTGTGTTGTGAATGTTAAAAACACCAGGCTGTCCTTAGCAAACTTCACTACTTAATTTTTACTATTTTCCCTTAGTTAGTTACTGCAATCACTTAATATAGCCGGAAGAATAGAATTATTTCTTGATCGGTTTTCTTTTGTCACTGACGTGTGACATACCCTAAATCCTAGACAACGATGATATATAGACTGATTACTTGGTTCTACTGTCTACATTGAAATCACAAGAAAAGAGATCACATAACGCAAATCACTTATCTTACTAAATGTCACACAATACAACTAAAATGTCTCAACACTTGTACTTTTACAGTGAAATGATTAATAAAAGTTAATTTTGAATTCTTAATTAAAGCAGGGGTTATCCATGGCTTAGATTTCATTCTTAATTCACGCTTAGAGAGTTGTACAAGAGGGATATGAACATCAACTATATCAGAGATTCTGGTGTAGAAAGAATTAAACATATTATTGGGATCGGGATTAGCACTGGCATGCAGCACATTTTCCCAATCAACTGAATGGATGTCTTGAATTAAAGCAGGTTTATCAAAATTAGAATACTCTCTTTTATAGATCTTAACCTTGTTAGGCAAAGAGGTGAATTTTTTGACAATAAGGAAATTAGGTAAATGATCAGTAAGATCATAATTAAAATAATATTCCCACTTAAGGTGAGGTGTTCCCAAGAATTAAGAAAATGTTGTCAATTAAAGTTTGTGAGTGGTCAGTGATTCGAGTAGGTTGTAAAATATGTGGTTGAAAGTTGAAGGACCCCAAAGAATTTAATTTTTATGAGATATGCAAACATGAATGTTCAACTTAAATTGGTTTTTATGAGTGACTGTCTTCAAGCACTGTGACTGCAGATTTCTGATCCAGTTCTTGATTCTGATCAGCCATCACCATATCGTAGGTTAGAATGACCCCTTCTGATAATAACTCATTGAACACTTCTTCTTCACTTGGCAAAGCCGTACGAGGCTTCACACCAAAGGCAGGAAATTTGTGATGAACTCTGTTGTCATAACGCTCATAAACGCCAGCGAATGTATCCCCATAACGCTGAATATTTTCATCATCTATCTTTATACCCAGCTGTAAGGTGGGCCACATATATGAGTCGGGTAATTTATCTTGGTAAAATCTGTAAACCTCTGAAAACTTTTCTCTTATATTCGCAAGCTTTTTGGATCCATTCTTTCGTTTCTCATCAACAGGAATTTTTGTGTTTTCCTGGAACTTTTTAAAAGCTTCAAGAAGACTTTTCAGATGACCTTGTTTTTGCTTAAAGCGATCGTTTCCTCTCAGGGCCGTTTTTAGAGATTCATCCCTTGGGGGATGACTCCAGATGTGTCGTTGATACTGCCCAACATATCAATCTGTCCCCCTGTGGTGGATCTTTTGGTGTCGGCCTCATTTTTTTGATAAATGAACCTGCTCTGTCCACGTCTTCGAAATGCTTTTGGCGCACAATTTCTCTAACCGTCATCTGCCTTACCTGATCCTCTTCCATCTAGTGCATCAACTGAGGAGTATCGTAAGAATGGGCCGATACCGCTACCAAATATTAGAACATTGCTAGCAGAGTCGCGCAATCAAATTCATTATACGTAAGCGTGCTCAAAATCCCGATAGTGCACGCTGATAGCGTCAGCAAATCCGACTTCGCCAGAAAAAATTTTTTTTCGCGCGAGCGGCCATTGCTAGTGCGGGGAAAAATAATACATTTCGCGACAATAATGGATACAAACAGAAACTCGGCCTGCTATTCCGAAAACGAAGACAATGTTTCGACCTTTTCCCATGGGCTAGAGTTCTTAAATGAGGCAGAAAAAGAGAAAAACAAAGGAAAAGGAGACTCGGCATCAGCGCCGTCACGATTCGCTTCAACTGATATTGTTGTCCGTTTTTCGCGTCGCATTTGATGCACAATTCCACCGGCTATGTTCTAAAACAATTGGTTCATGCTTTCAGCTGTGCACTATCGAGTTATGGAGCACGTGGGAAGTTTGGAGAGCACTCAAGAAGCTAGAGTTGCCCTCGGCTATCGCCTCGGGCAACTCTTACGCTTCTTGTCAGGCCACATTTAGAGTATGCGTCTGCAGTATGGGATCCTTATAGACAGAATCAAGTGGAGAAACTAGAAGCTATCCAAAATCGCGCAGCGAGATTTATTAAACATGATTATAGTTATAACACCAGCGTGTCCAATTTGAAGAAATCCCTATCTTTGGATTTACTAAGCGAGAGAAGAAAAACCCATCGTCTACAAATTGTCCATAAATCTGTGAACAATAGTATTGCTCTGCCTATCCCGTCTTATTATCAGTTGTCTATTAAGAAAACTAGAAATTACTCGACGAATTCATTTATTCAACCACCTGTACATCATGATTGTTACAAGTATAGTTTCTTTCTGAGAACTATAAGGGACTGGAACTGTTTATCACCTGGAACTAGATCACTTAATTATTCAGCTTTTTATTTCTAAGTATAGCTATATTGTTAATTACATATTTTATTTATTTATTTGTTTATTATTTTTTATTAGCTATGTTTATATTTTTATTCTTTTATCTCTTCTTGATGTGTAATAGCGTTGAAGAGTAATAAAGTAGATATAGATGTAGAAATGTATGGGAGAATATTGAAGAGTCGTAATATCGTAAACTTATATCAAGGAATGTCTATGCTGTGTATTGTCGTTTCTGTGGTTCTAAATGGCGAATTTGAGCGATTTGGTAGATTTTGCGTTTACTGTTACTTTACTGAAGAAGAAAAGAAATCTTATACCTGCAAGAGACGGGATCTCCGGCTTTACGTCATATCCGAGACGAAGCAATGTGAGTAAAGCGTCTTGCTTATGGACACAACGGTCAAGCCCCAGCCAAGACTTAAACCGTCTGACCCAGAGTCCAGCGCACTGACCTGTGCAGTGGACTATTCACGCCTTTGTCTTAACTAAAGAGGGGGGTGAATAGGGGTATGCAAATCCGCCGATCCGCTACGATTTGATAACCAAATCCGTCAGTCCGTTAAAAAAATTGTTAAATTCGAATCCGTTCGCTACTTGCCTCGTAAAAAGGTGAAAAACACACCTTGAGCTGTTGTGCGTTAGCTAGGCAATGGCTTTCCCATCGAGCGAATTGAAATCGGTGGGGTACAGTGTCACGGATAAGGCCCGGGGGGGACTCCCATATGAAACAAACGGGGATGCTAGGGGCATGGCTTAAGCAAATTTTAACCCCTGAAAGAGACCGCTTATGTTCATGCATTGTCTCTTTGGCACTTGGTAAAATAGAAAACTAGTTAAAGTTGAGGTAATACGGTAAACAAAACAAGTTAAAAAGAAAATTTTTTACTTCTGTTTCTCTTCGCGTAATTCTGTATTTCTTCGCGGAACCCTAAACGAGACCTTGGCGGCTTAAAATATTGGCGCTTTGCATGGAACACCCTAAGCGAGACCAAAATCCACACCCCTAAGCGAGACGACGAGCATCCCCGTCTGTTTCATATGGGAGTCCCCCCCCCCTGGGGGATAAGGGCGTGAACACAGCAGACGTCCCAGTGCGTTACTATTTCCTTGATTCGTGACATGCATGCAGAGTCTCGTCCCTGACAAAAAACACGCATTTCTGACGATGGTTCAGATCCACAATCCGAACTTCCTCACAAGCAAATTCCAAAATCCGGACCTAAAAAATTGACAAAACCGCGAACCGTTGCAATTTCAGAATCCGCAAATCCGTTAAAATTTGCTCTAAATCCGAAATCCGGGCAAAAAAATTCTCAGAATCCGCCAATCCGTTAGCCTATTCACCCCCCCCCCCATTCACTAAAGCTACTTCGCGAAAGAGATTCAAAGGAACTCGTACAATTCTAGTGATTCAGAGGAAGATGATTGAGGATAAATTCTCTACTCCATAAGAGGAATCTATGCAAATATTAATTCCATTTCACAACAGATGGTACAAAATAGAACTCACCGGTAAATAATTTGTGTATTTACCGATACACTTCCTCTATGTGTAGTTGTTATTAAATGTTGATCATTATTCCAGGATTGAATTGTCAATAAGGGATTAAATTTTGGGAGGGTTTTCATTCGTGGGTCTTTAATTTCACAATTTTTTCAACAATCGTGGTAAACACGAGAAATTATTTACCATTATGGTTAGGTATTTCGCTTGCTGGCAAGCTCCGTGGAAGATTATCTACATATATCCGAAAAAGGAGACTAGAATATTGCCTTAGACTCCACATATACAAGATGGCACCGATTTTAAACAGCTCGCAAAGGCACGAATCGGAGCATTTTCGTGCAGCAACTTTACTTTCAGCTTTATTTGTCCTCGATATTTCTTTCCTCTTATTCCGTTAGTAGGTCAACTGACATGTCACCACACTCATATAAGAATTACGGTCTTTTCGTCCAAAAGTTTTTTCATGTATGTCTGTTCTTCTAATCGTTAAGTCCTTTCTCGATGCAAATAAATAACTTTTAGAAGGCTATAGACAAAGCTATATAAAGAACTTATTAGTGCGAGCCGTTGCCATTTTGGTTCCGATAGCTTTAGTCACCAATCCTCGTTCACGAATTCAACGAAATTACGATAAATACACAGAGAAGATGCTTATTTGGGGTCATTTTTGGCTTAGTTTTATTTCTTTATCATGTTGGGCTATGTTGTTGGTCATGTCGGACACTTAGTGATGTTACCCTTATATTAGTTGTCTATTACGCCCAATAAACCATGAACGGCAAGTCTTTATTTTTGTCACTATTTAATAAAATATATCGCGTTACAACTTCATTTAAAACAATGTTATAACTTTGACGAAAAGACTTGATATTGGACGAATGGACCTAAGACTTTAGACGAAAAGACTCATTGGAGGAAAAGACCAGATACCCATATAAGGGTCCGCCTGTGCTTTGCTAACAATAAAAAAATCATATTTCTTAAGAAAAGAGACTGCATTAGAGGCTTTGTAAAAAATATTTTATTTGCTGCTATTACTAAGAAAAAAGTCTTCCTCACAATACCTGGGTCAGCACAAAAAGTTGCACATTCATCACAACAGAAGAAAAGTCTATAATCATACATCTGAATAATTGACTTCAACTTCAACAATGGCAGTATTCTAAGAAACATTGCAAAATAAACATCCATGCTTACACAGGAAAGGTTCGTTCCAGGATCCCTTTTCTGGACTTGTGTTCATCTGTAAATTTAACATTTACCTTCAGCACACGCCAGTTTAGATGAAAATTTATCATTTCTGTTCTTTTTCACGACTGTTCCAAAGAATGTCCTCAAACCACGTCAAGGCAAAAATGTATGCATTACTTTGTTCTTTATTCCAGGGATCTTTATATTTTTCTTTCAAAGCTCTAAGATTAGTTTGGCTTCCCATAACAAAAGTATCATTTCTATTCACGAGTAGTTTCACATGCACTGCAAATTTTGAAATAATTTTAGGTGAAACAGATAATTTTTATGCTGAATTTACGGTCCATTTATTCACCAGCCAAATATATACTCCATTGCTTTAGAGAAAATATTTGCTTCTTTCTGAGGAGTCCTGGCTCCATCTGGGACAACCTGCCAATGAAAAAAATACCCAATTCAGGATGTTTACATTTTATTTTTATTTCTAATTAATATTTAATCCAATAAATGGTTTGAACCTGGGGGTAACATGTAATAGCGTATTCTAATCGTCTGGGTGAGTGCCCTCCCGAGAAGGAATTTGGTCAGTTGTGGTGACTGACATTATGACAACCTGAGCAGAAATCATCATCAAAGCTAGAAGATTCCAATCAGTAACCTATACACTACAAATTGCCTACAAGTGCACTTGAAATTTTGTCAACTAATATCAACAATTTGAATATCATTTCAAAAAACCTAGCTATTAATTAGCTTGTGATTCTACCTCAAGAAAAGTTTGTCTAATATAAAGACTCTATTCTGATTACCCGATGGTCACTTCGAGCAGCTTGGTAAGCAGCAGTCAACGGTCGCACAGGGACAGGTTTACTCGATGTCGTAGATGTTACCATGGTTTCATTCCTATTTGTCGTTGATGGTGTGCTTATATTCTCTTTCCTAAAAGTTTCCATCACACTCTTTGAACAGCAAACAATAAAAGCAAGTTTTAAAATGTACTGTGCTGCAGTTCTTACTGAGTTAAAGTTCTAAGTCCTCCTGAATAAAGGTTATGTTCAGTACAATATCCTTTACATACGCTCCATGAGAGAGAAATTCAAGGACTGATCATTTAGGATGAGATGGAAGGGTGGTATTTTTGAAATGATACCCCTAACACTTACCAACCCTACCCTTCCAAAGATCCAATCAGTGGATTTGACCCACCAACTAAGCTTGAGGCTCACTATTGTTACCATAATAATGAAATTTTATTTAGCTGTGTCACATTTGTTGGATGTAACCCTTTTCAAAACTGTTGGCCCCAGACCCTTTACACCCTTACATCAGTGTACATATTCTCCATAATGTTCTCCATACATTTCTTAAGGTGCTGATAAGGAGAATTTGTTTAATAATCAAGAGCTTCTTTAAATGGTGTTCATTTCCTTTATTCTTGTGGGTGATATTGTAAGGAGAAATTAGATGCTGCTCACTCAAAAGGATAGAAGGGAACAGGAGATGGACCTGTCGTAAACTTAATGTACAACTTATCTAGACTCAGCAGTGGTTAATTTATAAAATGTTATCAACACCTTGAATCTTACCTTGTCAATACAAGGCACAACACCAACCATGATGTCACTACCATATATCTTTCCATTTTTACTGAGAGCCTTAAGAGTACAAACAATCAGACCATTTTAGTGAGTTATCCTGTAAAAGTCATTTCTAAAATTCAAACAAACACTAGGCTAACACCAGGTTTCTTACGAGAAGAATAGGAGAAGATTTTATGAGGACAAAATGTGGATGGAACAAAATATTCTAGGACTTAATTATTACACTGAAAAAAATGTAAAGATTAGCTATTATATTGATCAACATTTTCAAAATGCTCAGTTCTTTTAAAATGCTTCTTGTTTAGTCTAGTCCAAAATGTTTTTCCACTTTCATCTTCTCTGAGGATTTATTTCAAAAAGCTCTGTTTTTGCTGGACAATTTAACCAAATTAGTGTGTAAAGAGAGTCTAACCATTTAAAACAAGTCGCCTCTTAGGGAGTAGCTATTCCTGATGTGAGCCATACAGCTTTACATGGTTCGATAACTTAAGAATCTTATCAGTAGATTTTGTTACTCACCTTTTTGGCTTGAAGTTTTGACTGATACTGAAGATGCAACCAGTTCCCTTTAGATGTCTAGAGAGAATATAATTATAATCATGATAGTTACTTTTAAAATTCCATTGCATCAAATGCACTATTTACACATATCTATTATTTCCTAACTAGTCCGACTCTGGAAAGCAAAGAATTGACCTGACCTTCAATTTGGGTCTTCTAAGTGAAGCTATTAACTACATGATAATTTGGATATATCAACAAAGTTGAAATGGTAAATTGGCCACCGTAACAATTACAAAAGCTGACGTTTTGAGCATTAGCCCTTCGTCGGAGCGAATAGAGGAATTGTGGGTTGTGTGTGCTTTTAAAGGCAGAAAATGGAGCTACGTTATTGGTGGGAACATGGCAACGAGAAAAACAAGAATAAATTAGTGGAATGAAAAGCTTTCATTGATCCCTGTGGGATTTAGACTGCCGGTTTGAAAGATGAGCTTTTGTTCAAGATTTTTACGGCTTTCCGTGCTACCTAAGTGTAAGGAAAGACCGCAGATTGCCATATGTTGCTTAGAATGATTAGGTAAATTAAAATGTCTAGCGACTGGTTTCGATGTGTCCTTGTCATTCCTTTCCACGTCTCGAAGGTGTTCTCGGAATCGGTCACCTAGTCTTCTGCCTGTTTCGCCGATGTATATCTTTTTGCAATAAGTGCAAGTTATGCAATAGATTACATTGGCGGAGGTGCACGTGAAGTGATCGGTGATCTTAATGGATCGTTTAGGTCCCGATATTTTATCAGTGTTGTGAATGAAAGGACACGTTTTGCATCGTGCACGAGCGCATTTAAAAGTGCCTGGTTGGTCATTAGTCTGAAAAGAACTTCTGACCAAAAAATTGCCTATGTTTTTGTCGCGTTTGAATGAAATGAGCGGAGGCTGCGAAAAGATAGTGCTTGTCTCTGGATCGTTTTGAAGTAATTTAAAGTTTTTAAGAATGATGGATTTAACTGAGTGGTTGTGAGGGTGAAACGTGAGAGTGAATGGAATGCGGTCGGAATCTTCCTTATGCGACGTTTGTAGTGCTGAATGTCGATCAATAAGTTG